GGTACGACTTCATTCTCGGCACTCCGTGGTCTCGTCGGTTCCGCAGCACCGAGGCCGATTGGGCAACCAACACTCTCGTTCTCAAAATGAAGTGTGGACAGACGTATCGCGTACCTTTCATAGGTACCACGGCGACACCACGGCCTGTCGTCACCTTCCTTGACCACGGCAACACTCTCGTTCTCAAAACGAAGTGTGGTAGCCGGACCCCCACCGGCGGCCCCACCCCATCCTTGACCACCATGGTTGGGGGCCTTGGGGCGAGGGGCAACAATGCCGCAACATGCATCCCCTCTGATGGCTGGAGGGAGACAAAAAAGGTATGTTTTCAGGGGTCCCCTGTCTAAAGCCTTAGGAGTAGTGATAGGTAGGTAGTGAAGGTGAATTGAAAGAATTTGAAAGATGATGAAAGATATGAGAGAAGAATATAGCGTAGTTAAAAAAAGAAAAAAAAAAAGCTTTGACAAGCGCCTGTCAGTGCTTGGGAGCTCGTGAGGAAGTGACGATTAAATTCATTGAACGGCAGGATGAGGAGGTGGGGGTTATCCTCTAACCAGAGCAGCGAAAACCCCGAAAAGACTCACTGCTTCAGCCTCCCACTCATCTCCATTTGGACATGACTGTTCATAGCACTCCTCTGAGTCATCGTCTTCATCGCAATTCCTCTCATGTCTTGGTGTTCTCACACTACTGGTAGCCCTATCTTAAATGTATCTGACCGAATTTATGGCCACTCCTGGATGTATCTTAATAAGTAAAAAAGTCCTAGTGTGAGTATACCCTCAGTCAGTGTCCATGTCCTGTATTGGTTGCAACAGATGCGGGGATATCTCCTTCAGCAGTCTCTCCACAAGAGCCTGCATTCTTCTCAGTCTGTACTGGCGGAATGGATAGGATCATCTGTAGTGCCCCCCCGACCTGGCCCCTGCACCCCCCCCCCCCCCCAAAAAAAAAAAAAAGAAAGGATCATCGGTAGTGGAATGAAAAAAGGGGAAAAAAACGACCATGTGCAGTGCCCGCCCAGGATTACCACATCACGGCTAACTGCTAACGTGGACCGCCATGACATCCTACTCCCATTTGTAAGCCCTCACATCTCTCTCCTCTCTCCACCTCGACTGTCTTTCGGTCATTGTCGCTGTATAGAGACGGAAGTTGGACCAAATGCAGGCACAATTACCCTACGTTCTACTCAGGTGAAGACGGCAGCCCTGTGCTGAACTATCATATCAACTGCAACTAATCCGTGGCAAAGCCGATCACCGATCTCTCTCCCACCCCACCATCAGCTCGTTGCTAGACAAAGCATCTAGGTCTGGGACTCTCCAGAAAAACTCTCAACGACGACCATATCCCTTAAAAGACATATATGTCTGTTACAGCCCGTAAAGGGTATTCTCACAGCATATAGTCCACACTGCTTTAGTCGGGTGTCTATGTGCTCGTGATGACGGCTGGTGCAATAGCACTTGTAGCCACACTGTTTTAGTCGCGTGGCAAACCGCCACATGTGGACTCTGTTCCTCCCTTCTTCCAATGGGCTGCATAGATCCTGTCGTCACCTTCAGGTATATATTATGTGTGAAATAACTAGGCCGGAGTGTGGTGTTGGGTTTTGGCCTAGGGCAGTTAGAAAGTGCAAAAAACGAACAGCTTTGTGCACTTTCTTTTCTTCTTTTTTTTCTTCTTTTTTTTTCTTCTTTTTTTTCTCCTTTTTTTTCCATTTTTTTTCCAAAAGGAGACCATTGCATTATAAGCCAGAATCTCCGTTCCCCACATAAATGCCACAGCCTTACGCCAAGCCCATCCCCAACCGCAGCCTGAAAAATGCACTGACACGGATGGTCTGACAAACTCTCAAGAAACTGACAAAAACTAACCCCAGTCTCCTAATTACAAATAGGTCATAGGCCAAATCCCCACCTATCCTCGAATTTCTAGGCTACCAGCTGGGCCGCCCGGGTCCCGGGTGGCCAGCCCGTGCAAAGACCAGGGAAGGTCCCAGCAAAAACAAAAAACAAAAAACAAATTCCAAAACATCCGAAAAAAAACTATGTTATGCAGAAAAATAAACTGAACAATGTTTGCCTCAGGGTCACATCGAAATTCTCCATCAAATTTAGAATAAAAAATAAAAATTTAAAATAATTTGTTTATTTTTATTATTTTTAATTTTTTTGGCCCGGTCGGGCATGTGACCCCGGGCCAGTCTGGTAGCCTAGCTTAGTAATTCTTATTTTTTTATTTTTTTAAAGCTATATTCTTCTCTCAATTTCACCTCACAATACGTACCTACCACTACTCCTAATTGTAGGCATAGCAGCCAGAACCGTGTTCACGAGAGAACATGCCGGGGCTGCTCCCGACCTGCAGGTGGGCGATACCGGCCAGGGAACAGCCGGTAGCATCAAGGACGTATTAACTGTTTGTTCTCTATTTTGTCTATTCTTCGAGTTTTCCCTCGTCTCTCTTCGAGTGTTCTCTCGGACTTGACGAACATGCCATGAATGTCTCATCTCATCATCAGGGACCATGCCAACAGGACCAATCCCGGTGCCTCCCCTGAGGTCCCCTCCCCTACAAACATCAGCAGAATCTGCTCAATGCCAATCAGGGGATCCAGTGGTCTTTCTCTAGGTGGCGGGCGCCAAGCATGCCCAGGAGGGTACATGAGGCCAATTGGGATTGAACCCATGACCTCCTGAATGTCACCTGCGAGCCTTACCAACGAGTCCCCCACCTATCCTCTAATTTACTATCCTAATTGGATTTTCCAATCATTAATTCCTATGGCCAGCATAGCAGGCCCTAACTAATCGGATACCCACCCAGCCCAGACCCCAATTTAGCCCGAAAGTGAAGCAAAGGCCCAAATCCTGACCTACCCTTTAATCTAGTATCCCAATTAGACTCTGTCTCATCAATTCCAACGCCCTACAAAACAAACCCTAACTAAGCAGATGTCCACCCAACCCAAACCAGCAAACCCCAAATAAGGATCAATCACCAGCAGCTAATTACCCAATCTGACCAGTACCATTTCAACATATTAAACCACGGGTACCTCGCTCAGCTATTGAATCGGAGCCTCCCAGCACGCTGCGCGCCAAGTCCTGCCGAACCGCCGTCGCAATTTTCTTTTTCGTTTTTCCTGCGGCCTCCAGCCAATGCTGTCCGGCAGGCCGAAGCCCAAATGGCGCGGCGCGTATACAGGAAGCGCCGCAGCCGATATCTGGCTCAGGTACTGGTGGTTTAACTAACAGCCATTAACAAAATCAAGGGACCTAATACTAATTCAGAAAAGGAGGCAAACACATGTCAGTACCAGCGACTAATCACCCAACCAAACCACAGGACCTTTTCTAGAAGGAGACCCCTAAGGGGCTGTAACGTACCAGCGACTAATCACCCAACCAAACCACAGGACCTTTCCTAGAAGGAGATGCCTAAGGGCTTTACAGTCGTAATCCTACGCCAACTTGGCAAGTCATATCCCTTCCACACCTACCAGCTTGCCACTACGAGATCGGATTCTACCCCTATTGCTCCAATCTGAACTGGATGTATACCCGGTAGGGAGTGGCCATATAGCTCCACTCTCAACTGGATGTATACCCGGTAGGAAGTCCGGCCACTTGTTGTTGCTTTTTTTTTTTTTTTTTTTTTT